AGGAAGAGATTGTTGGCCTTCTTATTTTGAAGATGATTTAACAAACAATTTACGACTAATATTATTTTTAGTATTTTGTTTTGTGTTGTTTAGTATACATAGGGAAATGAGCTACAATGATATTGAAGCCTATGCAAATCAAGTCAACCAATCAAAGTTCAAGCTTCAGAATATTCATTTTTAGTATACTTAGTATAGGATTATATAATGTGTGCAAATTCTACAAGCTCAAATATACACATATTTCATTTGTGGATTTTCTCAAATATAGGTGTTTTTATGCAATATATATTTTAATAGGCTTTGGACTACACAAATGTTATTAACATCTTTTATTAAGTCCATAAAAACATTACACAAGTTTTCAGAACTTGATTTGAGCTAAATGTCAAAATCAACATGCTTAAAATACATGTATTTTTAGTGCTTTTGAATTTTTTTAAGATTTCACAAATGGTAAGAGCAAATTAAAAAATTCCTTTTTCAACATGCTCATAATCATGTTTATAAATTTTTTTTCTAAGGTTTTACATTTTTTAGAATTTATTTGCTATTTTTAAAAGTACTTTAAAATTCGTTTTCAAAAATCTATACAGGCTGAAAACCTGTTATCAGTCGACTGATGACATTTATCAGTCGACTAAAAAAATGTCCTGCAATCTTCAAAAGTTTTTGTTTTTTATTGGTCGACTGATCAGTCGACTGATGAGATCATTAGTCGACTTACCATGATTATCAGTCAACTGATAAGATGCCATTTGCCTATAACGGTCAGCTTATCAGTCGACTGGCGTAACCCGTCAGTCGACTGATTTGTCCCAACGGTTATTTTTCCAGCCTTTTGAAGTTTTGTCTTTTTGTTGGATTTTATTGGGTTTTGAGCTTTGGTTTTTCGTCCTATATATACCCCTCACTGTTTCAGTTCTGAATATATCCAAGAGGGTTTTAAAAAAAAAGAGTTTAAAGAGTTTTAGAGTTTGTTTAAGTTTCTTGAGTTTGCGTTTACAATGAGGGAGCTTACAATTTCAATTGAGGAATTCATTATCAATCGTCTTCATCCTCTATTGTGTTTATAGAGAAGTTTTTCTAACTCTTTTCTCTAGCAAATTGTTACTGTTTTTCATATTTTTTATTGCTAGTTTGCTATTTGAGTTAGATTTTATTTGAACTCATTTTATCACACACACCCCTATTTGAGCTTTTAGTATTTCATACATCACATATTAAGTTGTGGGATTGTGATATTGTGAGAGTGAGCTTACATTGTGTTCTCACCTATTGTAGAGAACAAAATCTTATATTTGATCCTTATTGTGAGTTACACGTTGTATTACACTTGTACACTAAGAGGAGTAGTTAGTGAGAGACGGGGTCGATTCCAAGATGAGTGGCGTCGGTTGTAAAGCCTAGAGAGAGGTTGTAAATCCGAGCACTTGAGGAAGAGGACACGGGCTAGGCCAACACTTAGATGGTGTAGAGTGTGATTGCAAGTGTGTAAGTTGTAAAGTTTTCGGTGAACTAGAAAGTCGAGTTGTGAGGTATAAACGTTATTCGGGTGAGCGTAGAAAACCCGATTGTGATAGTGGATTTCTTCCCGGGAGTGGGGATCGGAGACGTAGGACGGAAGGTCCGAACTCCGTGATCATCTTTGTGTGTTAGAGTTTGCATTGGCGTATCATTTGTGTCTATTTCTTAGTCTATTTTATTCGCCATTGCTCATTGTTTACATTGCCCTATCACATTTGTATCTTGCTTATCCTTGCATATAATTATTGCATATCTTTCTTGCTAGGATATATTTTTTAATTAGTTTTAATCGACATCAATATCTAATAAGATTAGCAATAACCTTATTCACCCCCCTGCCCCACGTCTAGGGTGCTTTCATGATCCTCGTCTTGAACTATCACGTCTATGTCCTTTAAGTCTGATATGATCCTATCAAACTTGTTAATGTATTTTCGGATTGATGAGACATCATCCATCTTGCAAGTATACAATTCGAATTTTAAATAGATCCGGTTCGTTAGACTCTTCGTCATGAAGGTGCTCTCTAACTTTGACCACACACCCGCAGTCGTTTCCTCTTCATCTACCAAGAAAGCTACATCCCTCTCAAGGCATAGGATAATCGACGACGTGCTTCTAGATCTAGCTCCTTCCAATGCTCATCAGACATATTCTTGTGATTCTTCTCCTTTCCAACCAAAGCCTTGTGCAATTTCTGCGAAATCAACGAATTCTTCATCTGCATCCTCCAATAGGAAAAATCGTTCTTCCCATTGAACTTTTAATCTCGTACTTTCCAACTTTAACCGTCTTGCTAGTTGACGTCATCCTCCGTTTGTGTTAATAAATTCGCTTCTCTCAGGAAATTACCGAGCACCACCTCAAACCAGAAGCTATACCACTCCCAACCTGAATAACAGCTCTGATACCAATTATTGGGCGCAGAGTCACGCCCTCAGTCCGTAGAAGCAATATAACCCGAGAGAAAGCCCTGGCTTTTATTTTCACAAAAGCTCAAGCCAACCTCTATATTCCCGTTTCACAAAGGAAACAAGAATAGGAGTGAAATATATCAACAAAGTGGGGTATACACTCTTCCTCTCATCAGTTCTAGGACTGAATTGTCGAGTGAACCTACAAACAATAGCCAACACCCAGAAAACAGTAAAGACACGAGATTTAAGTGGCTCGGCAAACTTGCCTACGTTCATGGGAGGGGTGAGGGGAGATTCCACTATGAGGAGAACACCGACGACTTGTACAATCCACAAGATCGTCTCAAAAGAAGAAGATTTGATTTTTTACCCAAAAGAAATTGACCTCTCTCTTGTAAAAATCTCTCCAAGCTCTCTCTTTTTCTGTCCTCAAGATCTCAGACCTAAGCCTCGTGAAAACTCCTCAAAAACATCCGACTAAACCCTCTGTTTCACCTCACGCAGAAACCCTAGAAGAGATCGTCGCTATTTATATCAAGTCATCGATCAAAAAATCATCCAGGGAAAAAAACCGAAAGGCCCAATTACCCGCTTGAATTCCTCCCGCGCGAGCACGTGTCTTGCCGCTTGCCATCTCGCGCATGCTCCCGCACCTGTGTGCTCGCCGCTTGCTGCTCCGCACCGCACCGCTCACACGTATGATACTGTAAAAATTATTTTGCCCAAAGATCCCAAAGTGAATAAATTTCAACCTGGAGACTCTTGAAGTTCAATAGAATTTGACTTCGATAACTAAACTTTCAAAGAAAAAGTTAAAGAGTTGGATGATAAAAAAACTTTTGAGGGCTTTTCAATCATTTGACCTTACGTGAGAACTTGTGAGTCCTTAATTACAAGTCAAGCGGCAAAACATCAAAACTTATTGGAAGTTTAATGACAGTTACGTAACAATCAATTTACACGCCTGAAAAGAAGAAGAAGCGTTTGGGAATACTTGAAATGACATTATTGAGGAGGTGGGACTTTCCTTTTCTATATTTCTAGGAAGACAACCGACCACCCCTGATATGTGACTCACATTCGTCGCAAACAAAGAAAAAGGTTTGCTTTTTGAGAACTGAATTCGAAATGAAACACTTTCTGGACCCCCCTCGTGAGCAGACGGTCCAATTCGAAAAGAAAGTAACAAAGCCCTTGCGTGTCGTACTACGCTAGTGACAGCCATATCCACATCGGGGTTATCTAGTATTTAATCCGGCCCTCTAAAGTCCTCAACGATTCCTAATAATTGCTCCTTAGTCCCTCAAAATACCCTTTAATTATGATTTCTCCCTTAAACCCCATTTTGCTCAGGAAAAAAGGGTTATTTATGCTTTAGTACTCTAATTTTACACATTTTTATCTTTAATATTCTAACATTTTGATACCCTAAAGCTTACGACTTAATTTGGTGCCGTAAGTTTTTTTTTTTTTGGGGACACTTTTGTTTGGATAAAGTTTATTCCTATTTAACTTTGACACCCAAAACTTTATTTTTTACACTTTAATACTCCAAATTTTAGGGTATCAACGTTAAAAAATGTGTGAACTTTCAGGTATCAAAGTTAAGAAGATGTGGAACCTCTAGGTATGAAAGTCAAGAATGTGTAAAACATAGAGTATCAAATGTGTCAAAAAAGCTTGATGGTATCAAAGTGGAGTTCAGGGTATCAAAAGAAATTTCAGGTATCAAAATTAAAAATGTGTAAACTTTAGAGTGACAAATTGTAAATAACTCTTTTGTTGAGGGCATTTTGGTCCTATGGAGGGACCAGATTGCAACATTCGAAGGATTTAAAGGACTAATGAGTAATTCCCTAGATCTGAGGAGCTTCAATGGAATAATTGTAGAGGGACTAATATCTAAATGCCCCTTTATTTTATTTTCACTAATATCTAAATAACCCCTTTATTGTAGACTTAAGGGACTAATATATGAATACTGGAGAACAAATTTTCAAAACAGCCCCAAAAAGATTTTTATTTTTCAAAATCGACATGATTTTTTTTATTTATCAAAATCGACCCACTTTTTGCCACGTGGGCTTAATGAAGTTCCTAAACAGTCGGGGTTGGCAACCCCGACTGTTTAGGAGGGTGTTAAACCCTAATTAGAACCCTTAAACCTAAAATTTTCATGGCCTAAACAGTCGGGGTTGGTAACCCCGACTGTTTAGGAACGTCATTAAGCCCACGTGACAAAAAGTGGGTCGATTTTGATAAATAAAAAAAAACGGGCCGATTTTAAAAAATAAAAAACTTTTTGGGGCTGTTTTGAAAAATTCCTCGAATACTCGATGAGCTCTCGTTATCAGCCGCTCAAATCTTCAATAATAGAGAACTCATCACTTACGAAACATAGAATTATAAAATCTAGATGAGCTCTCGTGGATCTCAGTATACAGAAAGAAAGAGTCACTTACGAAACATAGAATTATAAAATCTAGATGAGCTCTCGTGGATCTCAGTATACAGAAAGAAAGAGAGGAAACAAATTAAGAAATGGAAGAAATCTAGATGAGCTCTCGTGGATCTCAGTATACAGAAAGAAAGAGAGGAAACAAATTAAGAAATGGAAGATAGAAGAGGCTTGGCGTCCTTTGCTTCAGCGCATAATGAGGGTGATAGGGAGAACATTGTCTCAGACATCACTCAGGTATACAAATTGCTTGTGTTATTCCTCTTTCTTTTTTTATCTTCAGAATTGTGTATAGTACGTACCTTGTTTAATACGATTTGGGGTTGCTTCATCTTGATGTTCTTGTTCCTATTTTAGATGAGGAAATCATGGGTTTTAATTTACTTTCAACTGCTTTTTTGATGAATTGTTGCTCAACAGATGTTATATATTTTGTCTGAATGTGGATGGTAACTTGGGATTATAGTTAAGTGACCGTTTTTACTTGGCAAGAATGCAATTATACCTCAGGCAGATAATTTTATAGTAGGAGTATCAAGTATTGTCGAAATCTATACTCTGATCAGTTTTAATTTTTACGGTAAATTGGATGATTAGTGTTTTGTTTGTGTATGTTTAGCTTGTAGGATGGACACCATTAATAGAACTGAAAAGTATAGTGAAAAAGGAAGGAGTTGATGCTCGGTTGATCGCTAAAATGGAGTCCTACCAACCTCTTTCTTCGGTGAAAGATCGTGCTGCTCTCAGGTTTGTATGCGGATATTTTTAAATATTTTATAGAAAATTTATTTTTTTCCCAAAATAATTGCTATCAATCTAAGTTTGATCGCATATGTATTTTGATAGACACGTACATATTTTAGTTGTTCGGGATTTTACATATACGTGTCCCTATAAAACAATAGTTTTGGGTTAATTTTGGACAACCCCCTGAACTTTGGGGTGTGTGTTGTGTAAGAAATAGAGTGTGTTGCAAATGCACTTCAAATTAATTACAGTATAGAAAATGTTGAACCATAAAGAGAGGTTTCTTTGATTTTTTTTTTTTTAGTTGGACAGTTTCCTTTTATGAAGTTGTTTGAAAAGATGTTTTCATGAAGAAAGGTTTGAAAGTGGGTTTATAGTTTTTTGTTAAGGAAAAGAATGAAAACTAGAAAGGGGGATAGAAGAGAGAATAGAAATGCAAACAAGAAAAGAGACGATGGAAAAAATAAAACAAAAGAAAAAATAAAAACAAGAGAAAAAGGGGGAAATGGAGATATAAAAAATAGAAATAAAATGAAAAAAAATCAAAAGAAATAGAAAATGAAAGAAGAGATAACAACTAACAAAACTAGAAAATGAGAGAGAGAGAGAGAGAGAGAGAGAGAGAGTTAAATTAGGAAATGAGGCTGGCTCCCCTTGATCTTGATGGGAGATGAATTTCTTTAGCAGGGCCCTCTGTATCATGTCCTTAATGTCTCTTTGGAGAACTCCTATAGTTATCAGTATGATGGCTATGATCCCGGTGATATCGGTAGTACTATTTGAGGTCTCTAGATTTAGAGTTTGACTTCATGTGAGGGGGAGGAGTGGTAAGGTATCCCTCCTTCTGAATCAGGTACAACAATTGTGTGTGTGTGTGAGAGAGAGAGAGAGAGAGAGAGAGAGAGAGAGAGAGAGAGAGAGAGAGAGAGAGAAGAGAGAGAGAGAGAGAGAGAGAGAGAGAGAGAGGTGTCGAGAGGAGTGGGTGTTAGCTTCTTTGTCGCCTCTTTCTTCTGATCTCTCCTATCAACCCGATCAGATCTGTCATCGCCTTTAGGGGATCATCTTCAACCGTCTTGCCCTTAGAGGATTCTACTTTAGCTACTTCTAGTTGGGTCACCTTCTTGTGGGCTTGACTCTCTTCAACGTCCATGTGTGATCGAGCTCAGACCATCAGTTGGTTGAAATTAATCACACTGTTCATGATGAGAGAGTCGAATAATGTTTCATCTTCTAGCCCAGCAACAATAGCAACCATGGTGACCATATTGCCGAGGCCTTCGACCTCTAGTCTCTTGACCTATAATCTTTTAAAATAGTCTCTTAGGCTTTCGTCGGGTCTCTGTTTTATCTGCAGCAAGATGGAGGAAAGAGTCTTTTACTTTGTGTCAGCCAAAAAATGGTGCACAAACTTTTGGCTGCGCTGCTCAAAACTATGGATAGACTTCTTATCCAGTGAGTTCTATCACATCTTCGCACTATCCGTTAAGGTAATTAGGAAAGCTCTGTAGATGACCAGGTCGCTCACTTGCTACATGCGCATTAAATCATAAATATTTTATGCATGCTCAGCAGGATCTCCTTCGCCCTTATATTTCTCGATGTAGCGCATCTTAAACTTAGGCATAAAGCATTCATGATCTAGTCGGCAAGAGGCATATTTCCTCTGATGATATCTGCGACATTGTTGAAGGTCCGGCCGTAACCAGACACAAAGTTGGTTGTAAAATGATCTATTCTGCTTACTGGAGCTGGAGCAGCGCGAGGATATCTAGAGTCGCACAACATCATCTAGGTGTCATTTTCATGGCTAAGACTCAAACTTTCGCCAGTAACCTCCATATAGTGCGGGGGTTGCCGTGGATGAGCGACGAAACGAACCTGCTGCCAAGGTGGTGGGGGAGTGATATCTCCAGTTCGCTCCTTAACTATTTGTTGCTAAAGGAGATGATCTCCTTAGGGAGGAGTGACAGACGATGGAGGAGGATGAGATGGAGGAATCTGACTTAGAAGTTTCTTTGTAATAGTAGCGAACTGTTGCTAAAGGGAATGAGCTATTCTCTGGGTGGACTCATCTAATTGGGCCCGAGTGATATAGCCTGTGTTGGTCTCCCCTCTAGGAAGGGCACAGACGATCAATCTGGTCGATTGGAATCAGTCATCTTCTTTAAAGAAGAAAAAGAGACCTCACGGTGGGCACCAAAGTGCTTATGCCAGAAACTTAATTGTGGAGATTAGATTGGATTTAGGAAAGCTCAGGGCCCCTCAATCCTCTATGATGGTTGATTGCTTTGAACAGAAGATAAATTTATGCACATACAAAACATTAGAGGGTCGAAGTTGGGTTCTCCGACGATCAAGTTAGTGCTGATCTTAAGGGATAGAAATGTATAAAAGAAATACTTTTTAGGGTTTTAGATGTAGAGAACCGCATGCCTCCATGTAGAAAAAAAATCTGCATATTTATAGTGAGTGGAAAAGGGTATTTGGGAAAAATGGTATTTGTGTAACTTCGGCTGGGTCCATGCAGTCGGCTTAGTCAACCAACTCTTTACACCTATCAGCAGCTGGCGGTCCGAGTTATCCTCACGTTTAATGCGGCGGCGACAGAATGGCTAAAGTGCTAGCACGATCCGAGGAGTCTTCATGACTTCGGCGGAGAAGTAATGATAGTCTTGACCATGCATTTAATGCGACAGTGACTAGCTGACAACCTTCGGGAAGACAAAGCAAATAGGTTCCCCTGTGGTTCAAGTTACGTCGCCGGGTACGAGTCAAGACACATTTCATCTCGGTCTTTTGAGAGAGTCTAAATGAGGACGCCTTTGGCTTTTGAGAGAAACCCCGGGTGATGACGCCTTTCATCTCAATCCTTTGAAAGAGTTCGAGTGAGGACGTCGTTGGCTTTTGAGAGAAACCCTAGGTGATGACGCACTTTGTCTCAGTTAAATCTACTCCTAAATTAAGCAAGAAAAAATAACTAAGTATGAAAATTAAACAAATAAAGCCTGAATTAAAGGAATTAAATCTAACATACTTCCTAAACATGCAATTCTAATTAAACAAGAAAATTTAAAATCTAAAAATTCACATTGCAATGGTTGGCCCCTTGTGCAGATCCAAGTTTCTTCAAGTCTCTATGATAAAAAGAAAATTAAAAAAAGAACTTTTTTATTTTTATTTACAAAATTAAAGTTTTACAATATTTGGAAGGCCTACAAAAGAGTGGCCCTCTACCCTCTAGAAGATGATTTACAAAAAATTTTGCATGCCTGACCCTCACTCTCTACTCCTTTTTATAGAAGACATAAACTAATATCAGTCTTTGGATCAAACTTGGGCTCCAAGAAGCAATTTTGAGCTGTAGGTGCATGGCTAGAAAATTCTACACAAATTCTAGGATATTTACAGCTCTACCAGTAGTTCACAAAAATGACCATATGATGAGTTCTATAACTCCAATTTGACTCAAACTTGATTAGTTGCATTTGTGACTGGAAGACGGACAATTCTATATGATTCACAGCTGGATCAAACAAAATAATCCTACACATTTCTAACTATAGGGCCATCACAAGTCCACCAATTATATTGATCTTAGCGCGCGGATTGGTTATATATAATGGAGAAGGAATTGAGAGTTATAAATCACCGAAAGAATTCGTTATGATATTTGCTTCTTTAGTCCATAATTTAGAAGTGGTTTTTTAATGATAAATTTAAAGTGCTTAACCATCAAAAAGGAATTTACTTTTAGCAATAATCTGGTTTCTCAATTACTGCGATAAGTTAATTTTTCAGCAATACTCAAAGAATATTTATCAAGGAGGAAGAGGACTAATTTAAGTCAACAGTTGCCCTTGAAGTTGTTAATAACTATGAAACGAGGTTCGGGACTCGATTTTGAAATAAGTTTGTGGATTAGTAAAATAAGAAAAAGTGCAAGGCGGTTATTTACAGCACCACCAAAGTTCGATGAGGTTTCTCAAATTAAGCAGTTGATGGGGGGTATCTGCAACACCCCCACCCCCACCCCCAAAAAAAAAAAAAAATCCTTGCCAGGAAGAGGACTAATTTAAGTCAACAGTTGCCCTTGAAGTTGTTAATAACTATGAAACGAGGTTCGGGACTCGATTTTGAAATAAGTTTGTGGATTAGTAAAATAAGAAAAAGTGCAAGGCGGTTATTTACAGCACCACCAAAGTTCGATGAGGTTTCTCAAATTAAGCAGTTGATGGGGGGTATCTGCAACACCCCCCCCCCCCCCCCCAAAAAAAAAAAAAAATCCTTGCCAGACGCACACCAACCGAAAGATCAAGGGTGTTTTATTCAACTAACCAAATATTTTGTCTGGGTAAATTTTACAAACCCCCCATGAACTTTGTGTGATTTTGTACAAAATCCCATGATTTTTATAAATAAGAGAAAACCCCATGAACTTTCAAAGTTGTACCAAACCTTTCGAATCCAAACTATTGGAAGGTGTTATAAACAACGTTAACTACTAGACTAAAAGATTTTAAAATATGACCTGATTGTTATCTCTTGTTCTCCCACACGAATGGACTTCATTAAAAATCTTTATCACAAATCATAATTTACAATAAATTCAAACTAATTACTCTACCTACTGACAACTGCTTAGAGATTTTCCAGTAACTCAAGAGGGTTTAGTAGAATTTGAAAGTTCAAGGGTTTTCTCTGATTTTTGAAGTCAAGTAGGGGCTTGTGCAAAATATCCGGCCACTTATTCATATATAATTAAAAATTGAAGGAAGTGATGCTGCCATTTTTAGCTCAGTGACATGAAGAGCATACACAAGTAGGACAATCATTAGTGAAGTCCATGCTGTTATTTGCTACTCTATGCACTTGCATATCATGTTTTATTTTTCCAATGAAGCCCTTTGATTTACTGATCAGCCTCTAAGTTGACCAGTTTTTTTATGACTGTTTGACAATCTTTTTACCAAAAAAAAATTAAGTCCACTAGCAGCAAAACAATATTGATGAAATTTGGTAACATTCATCTCCAAGGGTTTTCTGAACAAATTTTGCCAACAAAAACCTGTTGAACAGTAGATATCTAGTTCCTTGCTTTGAGTTGAATCTGATTGAATCATGCTTCTCCGACTAATTTATTCAGCAACAACTATACAACAAAAATGTCGACGACCATGACAAATCCTTTTTATCTAGCACAGTAATAAATATTTTCTCACATTAAGCACATATTCTTTTTTTCTCTAGAATGATAGAGGATGCTGAGGAGAAGGGTTTGATTAAACCTGGGATCACAACATTAGTTGAAGGAACGAGTGGAAACATAGGGATTTCTTTGGCTTACATAGCTGCAAGGAAAGGTTACAAGTTCATCGGAGTCATACCTGCCAATTATTCACTTGATAAAAGGATGCTACTGAAATATTTGGGCGCCGATGTTATAATAACCGGTGAGAAAGAATTTCTTATGATACTGAATTTTATTGGCGTTCTTTAACTTATTAAAGTAATTTCATAAAATGCCCTTGAATTTTTGGTTGGTTTTTTGCACGAAGTCCCCTAAATTTTATTAATTTGGAGAGAAGAATCCTGAATTTTTAAAACTATAACAAAATCCTAATATATTATTCGAAATAAATGGCATTGACTTGAAGGAGAAAAAGCCTGAACTACTCTTTAATAATATCTGTCAATCCTAATCCAAAACAACCCTCTCACTAATTTGCAAATGACAACTTAAACTACTCGCCGCGAGTCAATATTCAAGTAAATTAAGTTCAATGTGGATTTTCTAATTTATGCTGATCAAGAGAGTTTTGTGCAAAACACCCAAAGTGTAGAGGAGTTCTGTATCTTTGCCCTTTATTAAAAGAAAATTCGGATTACATTGGCCAAATTTATGCAAAACCACTACTAGATTACTGTACCTCCTACTTGTTCTGGTAATATATACATACTTGATTGAAGGTATTTTCAGTTGAAACATAGTGAAGATTGCATGGTATCAGAGAGACCCATGTTCACATCTCATGAACTGGTGCGTATCTTAAATGGGACTTTAAAAAAAAATGTACCATCACATGAAAAAAACTAAGATTTTTTGTCCACATAAAAAAAGATGCTCAACTTGTTTTGATACGTAATTTGTAAGATTTTTTGTCCATGTGGTGGTTTCCTTGTTCTTTCTTTATTTTACGCACTACAATTATATTCAGATACCCCATTTCCTTTTTGGATTCATAACACCATTTTATTAATCATGAAATTGGTTGCTTCCTTGCCTGGTGTTTCTGCAGAAGCTTCACGTAGATTTCAGGGAGTGTATGATAGAATAAAGAAGCTGAGAGAGCAGGATGCAAACGTGTATGTTCTTGATCAGTTTGCTAATCCAGCAAATCCTGAAGCACATTTCACGGGCACTGGTACTTTTATGTAACTTGTTTTAATTCTCAGTGATATCTTCCAAATAATTCATCAACAATTTCTGATTCTCAAAAAAAAAAAATGAACATGCCATTTTGCTGGCAACTAGGCAGAGTAAAGTTGTAAATATAATCACCCTCAATTTGTTGGAGGGAAACCTTGTACTTACATCTGTTAAGAGTATAAAATTGATACCCTCAAATATATTTACTTTAACTTCCATACTTTATCGTACTGGAAAGGACCTAATCAAGAATGATCCAGGTTCAAATTCTATTAGGCCTGTACTCAAAGCAGATTACAAAAGGTATCGCTATGTAAAATAGCGCAGGTTCCAATCCACAAAAAGGATGTCCAATCTGTAGGGATATGATAGCATTAAATTATAATCTTCAATGCTCACCACAGCTTCAAAGTTTTCGGTAGTTGAAGGGACTTTAGGAGCATCCACTCATCCCTACTTTTCAAAATCTTTACAATATTCCCAAACTTAGATGTTGAGTACACAGTGTAATATTTAGTGAAATTGTTGCTGCTTCTTTGCATTGGCTGTGTTATTTCAGATTATTCACTATCTTATATCTTGATACTTCGTTATTAATATTTATCTCTGAGAATTGGGTATCAGTGTCTTTTATCCAGTTTGTCATAACATTCCTACACAATTACTTTAGTTTGATTATCTTTCAAGTAAAGATAAATTTCATTCAATAATATTTCTGCCTTGCTATTCTTAACTACTATACTGATCATCCTGAAATAGGTAGTAATAAATTATCAGGAGTTCTAATCGGAACCCAATGCATCGAATTTCAGGACCAGAGATCTGGAAAGACACGGCAGGAAAAGTAGACATCCTGGTATGTGCTAGTGGATCAGGAGGTACGTTGAATGGTACCGGAAAATATCTCAAAATGAAGAATCCTGATATCAAGATAATTTGTGTTGAACCAGCAGAAAACGCACTCCTCTCAGGTAATTTTGATTTTGGAATCAGAGAAAAGAATTAGTTTCAATTTGACATAAGCTCACATAGATGACTCCACAGTAAATGTGATCTCGATCAGGGACACTTCAATTTATTTTTAACTGATGTACTTAATTTTCTTTTGTTCATGGTAAATGAACATTTTCATTAACCGTGTGAAAATATGTTCAGAACATAAAACTGATCAGGCATACTTGAGATAGCTCAATCAACAAAGCAAAAGAATACAAAATCCTTCAAAAATTTTACAGATATCTATACATAGAATGATAAGGAATGCGAGCCTTAAACACCTTGGTCAAAACCTCTCTTTTAATCATAGCAACCAGTGAACCCTCAAGCCAAGATTTTTGAGTGAAGTGCCTCCTATTTCTTTCACACCAAAGGTGGTATAATCTTGCTCCAGTACTAGCTTTTAAGATCTTACAAGCTTTTAAAAAACAAAGTGATCCAAGTTTTCCTTCTCCTGATGAAAAAAATATCCTGATGACAAAAATAACAACTATTTGTAACAACAACAATGTCTCATCCTTTCCGATCTGTCCTGAGTGAGGGGTCTCTCCCTTGCTGCTTATGACTTGTTGAAACCATAACTACGTATTTTGATAATTTTTATACAGGTGGTCAACTAGGGACCCATAATATCCAAGGGATAGGACCAAGTTTCATTCCAAAGAACTCAGATCTATCGCATGTCGATGAGATAATAACCGTAACCACAGAGGAAGCAATGGTTCATGCAAGAAGGATTGCAAGAGAAGAAGGTTTGCTTATGGGCATATCATCAGGAGCAAACTTGGCTGCATGCTTGAAGGTTTGGCTCTTCGTTTGTTCATTATTGAAATCTCTGTAGTGTAGATGTTGTTCAATAATGTTATGTCAATCTGTCCACTAAAGTTGTTTCACGATTGCAAAAAAAAAAATTGAAGCTATGATAAGCATTAAGGATAATTTTAGGGTAAATTTCATAGAACTCCCAGAAGTTTTGAGCAGTTCGCACAATGTGCTCTGAACTTTAGAAATCATAGAAAATCCTCCTGGAGTTTCAAAATTTCTAAACCCTCCTGAACCACTAGAAGCTCTCATAGATGGCGTTAACGGAAAGGTTAAAAAATTTAGAAGGTTTATGCAAAACGCCCCAAAGTTTGGGGAGGTTTCATGAATTTGCCCCACCTATACTCTAATATATCTTTGCAAGTTGAGTGTCTTTTCATGGGCTGTATAATCTGTACTATTTTAACCCATTAATATTATTTCCTTAAATCCATATTGAATGTATGTACTGTGGGATTTGAACTTAAAGTCTCTTTAAGCGCATCAAAAACTTCAAAGTTGTTATAAGGGTTGAGTGTTATAATTTTATACTCTTAAACATCATCCATGTTGTTTACATGATCACATAATAGTTCCTACTTTTGGTGTTTGGCAGGTTGCGAAGAGAGCTGAAAACAAAGGTAAGATGATTGTAACGATATTTTCAAGTGGAGGTGAAAGATATATCAGCACACAATTGTTTGATGAAGTCAGGGACGAATGCGTTAATATGAGCTTTTCATAGATTTTACGAGTCAGCACGAGATGCTTTGTATCAGAATCTCATATTTTCAATAAAAAGAATAATTGTGATGTTGATGTAACTGAGTACATTTTAAGTTGTCCTGGAACTTTACAGTGATTAACAATAAGAAAATTATAGCAATAAGCGCTCTGTTCTATATGTCTGTGTGTAGCACATGGCAGCCCCTGTCAGAGGTAAATGAGCATTAAATCATCATTAGAGATGCATATATTACATCAGATACAATAGATGGTAAGCATCATGTTTGATGATGATATGTATCAGATACTTAGGAAAATATTTGTATCAGATGCTTTCAAACTATTAAGTCTTTATCACAACATGATTCAAGGAATGAGGAAGAAAAAAAATAGAGAATTGAATGCTAGTTTCTGAATGCTTCTGAATCATGCATTTCCTAACTACTTCCCTGAAAGAAGTAGAATATAATATTATTAATGAGTACAACAAAAATTAAAGAAGTAAGCTTTTTCATTAGTTAATAATCATTAGTTAATAATCATTAGTTAATAGTGACTAATCAAATTCAAAACTATATGCACCTGCCCAAAACCTAAAATATGTCAAGGCGGTATTTGGTTGCCCATGGGATTGGGACTAGAACTTCCATGTCTCAGGACTTTCAATCAAGTTCCACACTCGGTTTCCATGGGACTAGGATATCAGTGGGATTGAGATTTCTTTATAATCCCCAAAATGGGTAATAGGAAGTTCCAACCCAACCCAAAAAAAAAAAAGAAAGAAAGAAAGAAAGAATTAGCATTATGGGACTTTTCATAACTATTACGCCCTTACCTCAGATAATACGTGTTAAATTAAAGGGGTAAACTATAATTTCTAAAACTTCCAGGAGCAATTGTTTTAGGGGAGTGAACTGCAAATTCTTAAACTTTTAGTGGGTAAACCTCAATTATTGGGGGATAGACTATAAATTTTGAAACTTCTAGGGGTATAAACTTTAATTTTTAGACGGTAAACTGCAAATTCTAAAACTTCGAGGCGGGCAAACTGCAAATTTGGGGTAAGCTACAATTTTTGAAAACTACATTTTTTAGGCCGATAAACTGTACCTTTTTAGGAGATTAGCTGTAAATTCTAAAACTTTCAGCATAGAGTAAAATGCAATTTTTGGATGGTGAATTGCATATTCTGAAACTTTCAGCATAGAGTAAACTACAATTTTTGGGGGGTATAATGCAATTTTTGGGGATAAGTGCAAAATTTGAACTTTTTGGGGGTAAAATACAATTTTTTTAGGTGGTAAACTACAATTTCTAAAATTTACAAGGATGTAAAATGTAATTATTTGGGGGTAAATGAAAATTTTGAAACTTTTAAAGGGTAAACTATAAATTTTGAAACTTTCAGGGGATAAACATTAATTTTTGGGGGGGTAAACTGCAAATTTGAAACTTCCACTAAGGGGTAAACTACATATTTCAGGTCGATAAACTGTACCTTTTTAGGAGGTTAGCTGTAAATTCTAAAACTTTCATGGGGGAAAACAACATTTTTTAAATTACAAATTTTTAGGGGGTAAATTACAGTTTTTGAATATTCACGTGTTCTTAAAAGAATTTAAGGCTGTTATTTTCAATTTCTAAAAAGTTAATGGGATGTTGTAGATTAATATGTAGCCAATATACTACACTATTGAGGGAGGTGTAAAAGGAAGGAGGAGAATTTTGTAATTTTATAAAGTTTTAATGCCAATCTCCTCATGAATAAAAATAAGTTCACCAAACACGAATGAGATTTAATATCCCAATTCCACTACATAGGGCTCGGATATGATACTTATACATATCTACTAAAATCAGATATGGATATATATATATATATATATAGGTAAAAGCTTATGTCAACTTAAGTGGATAGGAATAAGTTATCCACCAACTTTTTTAACCGTTGATATTGCATTGGGATCCGTGATAGATATGAAGAATCTTTTAAGATTTGTGTCTTTTTTATGGCACATATCTTGAGACAAGATGAGTGGATAAAAAGTTTGGTGGACAAGGCCTCCTATCCACTTAAGTGGATAGGAGTTTTACTCTCTCTATATATAGAGAGAGAGAGAGAGAGAGAGAGAAATGGGTATGTTTGGTACCAAGCACAAGTTTTTGTGTTTGGTAGTGAGGTGGCATATTCCTCTCCACTCATTGAAATCGGGGCCCACATTCACATCGGTTGGGGAGTGGTTGAGAATTGAAATGAGTGAATAAGAATATGTCACGTCACTACCAAGCACAAAATTTGTGCTTGGTACCAAGCAAACCCATTTTTCTCATATATATATAAGCGGAAATATATAGTATTGAAAAAATATGCGGAAATATAAGCAGATACGCATGCAGATACAAAACGGATATGAGAAAACTAGATAGTATTGAAAAAATATATAGTTCATGTGATGCGAAAGAGTTCATTAATATGTTCATTATATCTGAAAAGCTAAGATTAGACATCTTGATCATCAAAATTAACCTCAAATCCATAAGCTAAGCATTAAAACTATTGTAATAATATGACTAACATGTTTTTGGAGTTTCGGATACAAATCCGGATATGTCATTATAAAATCATATTCGTAACAATATCCTATCAGTTATAGATTTGAGTAACAATATTCGTATCCTAATAGATATGGTTGAGGAAATCATATCTGTAATGGTGTTCTCAATCGCTAATGTACAGCCCTTTGCCAGCAACGGATAGGTGTCCCCCTACATGCACCGCTCAAACCAAGTTGACGGTCAGGACAACCAAGGATCTCAACTTAGCCGACCCGCCAAGTTGACATCTCCTTAGATCGACTCGAAAGGCAGAACTTGTCGGCCATCTTGTCCAAGACGACTCGCTACGAGCCTACTCGACCAATTATTCGACACCTCGCGAGGTCGACTCGAAAGGCGTTACTTCTCGACCAAGTTAAAGGATGACTTCAACCTCGAGCCTATCTCACTAACACCACGTCAGCGTCATATTAAATGCTTGGCAGACGCATCATACCTCTAGCCTCGATAGTCTTCATGACATTAAATGCTTGGCAGACACAACATACTTCTAGCCCCGATAATCTTCATGACTCATCAGACCACGTCAGCATCGTCATGCCTCAAATCACTTCGTATTAAATGCTGAGGTGATCTCTCCTCCACTTATCGACTGACAAGTGTAAAGTAGTTGTTGACGCAGCTGCCAAGCCTTACTTATTTACCGCCATCTTGTGTTCGGCCAAAATGACCATTCTACCCTTTTTCTATCACTCAAGTTCTTTATTTTCCCACTCAAGTTTAACTGACTTGATCATCGGAGGAACTATGGGGGAACCAAGTCCCGTCCTCTCACGAGTTGCTATTTGTGCAGGCTAAAATCTACTCAACTCAAAACTATATATTCGGAGAAGTGAGCGGTCCCTAATCACCTTCACCCCAATATATTTGACGGTTTGATTATTTAACATCAACAATATCCTATCAGATATATATTTGAGTAACCATATCTGTATCCTAACGAATATGGTTACGGATATTTTCTCAGGTACGGATATGGTTTAGTACCCCTACCACTAAATCCCACTCCTATACTTAATCCTAGGTTCAATTCTTAGGCGAACTGTTACCAAAGTGTACAAAACTAAAACCCTCAATGGTCACACCCCAGGCCTGCGAGCCCATTAGCGCAATGTAAGTAATAGAACTCATTTAGTGTAGTGCGTTGTTTGGCTCAAACCACTACCAAAATCGACTAGCTGATGCTACACTTGAGTCTTGGTCTTACCTATTTAAACACTCACAATTCTTATTGAATGACCAATGCGGGACTAAAGATTGGGTACTAAAATCAGTCCACCTAACAAAGACAACATCCTTGTCGCGCCATTGATAATTGGTTCATCCTAATATCACCACTAGATGATGTGGGCTCTAGAGATGTCTCATATAGGCAATAAAGGTAGCTCGCACGCACTCACACAGTATAGCACCTAGCATAGCATAGCACCTAGTTCTACAATTCCGGCCGGCTATGTGCTCTGATACTATTTGTGGCACCCCGAGCCTAAGAGCTGGTTAGTGTGATGTAAGTCATGGTACCCCCCTTAGTGTTATGCGATGTTTCGTTCAAACCACATACAAAATCGATTAGCCGATGTTATGCTTAAATTTTGGACTTATCTATTTAAACACTCACAATTCTTATTGAATGGCCAATGTGGGACTAAAGATGGAGTGCTACATCAACTCTCACCCCAACTTCGGTATTGCTTATGGAATACTGGCAAAGACCTTTTACATTGTATATATGACAACAACTTTGGTTCAAATTTTACTTGCCACGAAATTTCTTAAGCATATTAAAAAAGATACCATGTCAGTTAAGTACAACCATTTACAAAATAAAGTACTAACCACATTCTCTAAGGGGGTGTTTGTTTCAAAAAAATTTGGGATATAGGATTTGAAGTTTTGGGATGTAAAAAGTGATTTTTTAGGGTTTTGGAATTCCATAAATCATGTTTGTTTCAAAAAATATTTTGGGATATTGAATCCCAAAAACATAAAAAACTATTATATTTTAGAATATATGAAATCCTCTTTTTGAGCTTGGATTTGGGCTGGATCTCTGACACAAGCTGTCCAGCTCATCTCCTCCTCAGCTCCCGAAACCAAAACCGTCGTTCTCGTCACCGCTTCTTCCTCCGCCTCTACCAAATCCTACCCGCGCTCAACCAACGAGAGAGGAGAAATCCAAAGAGAGAAACCGACCCTCTCTCCTCTCAAATTAAAAATTAAAAAAAGCTCAAGACTCAGGTGAGGATTTGTATAGGAAAGGAGGTCACCACGCGGTGAGGATAGGCGATCAGTTCGCCGGTGGCCGATACATCGCTCAGAGGAAGCTCGGATGGGGGAATTTCTCCACTGTGCAGCTCGCCTTCGATACTCAGACTCAGGAGACGAATTTGGGTCGTTTTGCTAGATTTCAATCTCGTTATCTATGTCTTATGATTTGGATCATTTGTTTGATTCCTGTTTTGGTGATTGTGTACCCTTTTGATCTGAGTTCTGATCGAATTGCTTTAGGCCAGATTTATATCGTTCCTTTTTTGATCTTTTATTGATCTGGAC